ATGTACTTGGGCTAAGGGAAAAAATAAAATTATTTGGGAAAGAGTTAAAAATAATAACTTATAACAATATTAATACTGTTACAATTTTTATCATGAACTCATTAAGATAGAAATGATTAGCCCAAATAGGATTGTAATCTTCTCAAAATTTAATACAAATTTACTGGCAAGATTAATATTGAAATAGTTTTCAATAAAAATTTAAGTATAGCAGAGATAGAAACTATTTATAATGCTATTTTACTTTTTCTTAAAAATCTCAAACTAAGTAACAAATTTTTTGAGTGTTTTCATCACCCATTTTTCTGGTATTCTTTTTTTTTTGAGAGAGAGACAGAGTCTCGCTTTGTTGCCCAGGCTAAAGTGAGTGCCATGGCGTCAGCCTAGCTCACAGCAACCTCAAACTCCTGGGCTCAAGCAATCCTGCTGACTCAGCCTCCCGAGTACATGGGACTACAAGCATGCACCACCATGCCCGGCTAAGTTTTTCTATATATATTAGTTGGCCAATTAATTTCTTTCTATTTATAGTAGAGATGGGGTCTCGCTCTTGTTCAGGCTGGTTTCGAACTCCTGACCTTGAGCGATCCACTCGCCTCGGCCTCCCAGAGTGCTAGGATTACAGGCGTGAGCCACCGCGCCCGGCCTGGTATTCTTTTAATTCAACAAATAAATAAGAAAATTTCCCACTAGTTTTTCACATTTAGTGGAAATAGATTATTTAAAATAGTAGCTTTAATATAATTTTACACCATTACTCTAGATACTGTAAAATGCAAAGATCCTTAATAATCAGTCTGTACTTGTGAAGTAACAAGAGTGACAGAAAGAAAATTAGAATTTATTTCAAATTTTTCTCTTTTGCTTTTTTTCAAACTTAAAATCTGACCATGATATGTGCAGGCAGATGATTCAGTTACTAGTTAGAAAGCAATAAAAAATAAGAAGATAATTAAACATAAACAGGGCAGGAGCAGTACAAATTTGGTACACAGAACTTCTAAGGAAAAATTTTCAAAAAATTATTTGTAAAGTTTTACAAAGTAACAATTTATAAAGTTTTTAGATAATTCACTTAGCTCATTAGCATAATATATGTAGGGCTTCCTTGGTTCTAAAATCTGTAATATGTGGAACTACTAATATCAACTACCTAATAGCTTTAGCTCAGACCATCCTCATGTTAAAATGAGATTAAGATATAAAATATAGATCAAGGTCAAAGAAAATTTGTATTTCAGCTACAAACAAACCTTTCGATCTTTCCCCAAAAGCAATTTGGGATTACTTTCCTCCTTTTTTTTCTGCATTTCATCATAAATACTGTCATATTCATACACAGTGGAATCTTCTGCAAGGGCCTTCTGGATTTCCAGTTTGGTCTTAAAAAAAAAAATCAAACATGTTTCAAAAATATGAGCTAGCCAATATACACCACAAAAAATCTATATGCATTTTTTTGAGAAAGGTTCATAAAATTGGAAACATATCATAAAAATTACATCAGTCACATTTTAGATACAATATATGAATGTAAATTCTGGAACCAGGCTGCCTGGGTTTGAATCTTGGCTCTACACTAATTACTTTGGGCAAGTTTGTTTAATCTTTTTATGCCTTAATTTTCCTCATCTAAAAAATTGGTAATAATAAATAATAATTTTATCTACCTTCCAAGCTGTTGTGATAAATGACTTAAACTTAAAACACTTAGAATAGAGTCTGACAGAGAATAGTGTCCAATAAACATTAACAATTATCATCTATTTATTTGTATATAAATATAATTATATACATCAAAAGGTCAAGAGGTCCAAAGTATAACAGAGAAACATCTAACCCTGGTTTTGAGATGCCTACATTATATATTAAACTTTCACATCACTTCTAGTAAGTTGAGGAGCCAAATAAAATGTTTAGTTTTCAAATGTATAATGGTAGGAAATAACTTTATGAAAAGTTCCCAACATAGTATAAAATTAGGAACATTTTGTAATTAATAAAGTATATTTGTAATTTCAGTCATATAGTCTCTGCCTTTGTTAGCTTCCTTCTATCTTAAATGTTTTTCTTCCCCTTTTAGGCCACTGAAATCTTACCCAAGTTTCAGGGCTAGTTCAACTCCCTACATCTTAAATGAAGCCATTTCTTTACTTTTCTTTTTGAGACAGAGTCTTGCTCTATATTGCCTAGGCTAGAGTGCCATGGCATCAGCCTAGCTCATGGCAACCTTAAACTCCTGGGTTCAAGTAATCCTCCTGCTTCAGCCTCCTGAGTAGCTGGGACTACACGGGCATGCCACCATGCTCGGCTAATATTTTTTTTCTATTTTTAGTCACCCAGCTAATTTTTTCTATTTTTAGTAGTGATGGGGTCTCGCTCTTGCTCAAGCTGGTCTCGAAATCCCGAGCTCAAGCGATTCTCCCACCCTGGCCTCTGAGAGTGCTAGAAATGAGGCCATTTCTGAGGACTTTAACCTCTAATGATCTCTTTCTTCTGAACACTAATGGAACAGTCTACTCTGAAACATTAAACTCTTAATAATACACTTGATAGCCGGGCGTGGTGGCTCACGCCTGTAATCCTAGCACTTTGGGAGGCCGAGGCAGGAGGATTGCTCAAGGTCAGGAGTTCGAAACCAGCCTGAGCGAGACCCCGTCTCTACCAAAAATAGAAATAAATTAATTGACCAACTAAAAATATATATACAAAAAATTAGCCGGGCATGGTGGCACATGCCTGTAGTCCCAGCTACTAGGGAGGCTGAGGCAGTAGGATCGCTGAGCCCCGGAGACTGAGGTTGCTGTGAGCTAGGCTGACGCCACGGCACTCACTCTAGCCTGGGCAACAAAGTGAGACTCTGTCTCAAAAAAAAAAAAAAAAAAAAACAAAAACAAAAAAACAAAAAAATAATACACTTGATGTTACTACTTCATAATCATTTCACAAATCTAAGGTAAGAGGCTTATAAGTTTCTGAGATACAGAGTTTTCACATCTAAACTTTTTTTCTGAATGGCTACATTGCCCAGTGCAATGTGGAACATTGAGGGATCCTTTTTAAGTGACAGGATGATATAACAAATATTCAAAAGAATCTACTCGATATTCTCAGGTTTTTATGTATCAACATCACATCCTAAATGAAAAATACTTTTCTGGAATATTGTTTAAAATATTAAGAAATTCACATTTTTCCTCCACTTCTCAACCTTTAGAAAACCAATGATTCTCCTGCCTAGAAGATGAATTGGCACTGCTGCTCCCTCCCTAAAACATGGACTCTAAGAAATAATAACCACCACCATAACAAAAAGCAAGGGAAAAAGGAGACTGAGGGCTGTTTTAAACTGATGACATGTCTTTGTATATGCTGGGAAGAAAGATGCAGGTGAGCACTTGGGTAGATATGTTATTATTAACTATGTCTCAACACTTACAAAGCAAAAATTGAACAGAAATCTAAGGGAAAATAAATAAACCCACAATTATATTGGGAGATTTTAACATATGTCTGTCAATAATAGAACAGACAAATCAATATGAATATATAGATAGATAGATAACACAACTGGCCCACTGGATCCATATAGCGCATTTTTAAGGATGGAGGGAATATTTATAAAAACTGACTATATACAAGACCATAAAGTAAACCTCAACACATTAAAGGAAAGAAACAATACAGTCAGTATAAGGTCTTGAAATCATGTTAGAAATCAGTAACAAAAAGGTAACCAAAAAGCTCCACATTTAGAAATCAAGTTATATACTTCTAAATAATATATGGGTCAAACAAGAAATCATAATGCAAATTAGAAAATATTTTGAATGTAATAACAAAAATACTGCCTATCAAAATTTGTGAGACACAGCTACAGCAGTGGTTAGAGGGAAATGTATACCTTTAGATATATATATTAAATGTATTAGAAAAGAGAAAGGATTGAAAAACAGAGCTATGCACCCACTTCAAAAAGTTAGAAAAACAAACTCAAAAGAAAGTAGAATGAAGAAAACTAATTTGTCAGGACAGAAATTGATGAGGTAGAAACAAACTCAAAATGTATATATTATTAGCTCATTTTATAAGATTCACCAAACCTTGATATTATCAGACTTAATTTTCTTTTAATCTGGATAATTATAGTGAAAGAAAAGGAAAATTACAGGCCAAGCTTTACTTATGGTATGAAAATCCTCAACACTTATGCAAAACCCTTAATGAAATTTTAGTAAACCAAATGCAACAACATATAAAAAGGATAATATTTTATGCTTATGTTGGGTTTATACCCACGTACGTGACGTTCTAATGATTGTTTTTTTTTGTTTTTTTTTTGAGACAGAGTCTTACTTTGTTGCCCAGGCTAGAGTGAGTGCCATGGCGTCAGCCTAGCTCACAGCAACCTCAAACTCCTGGGCTCAAGCAATCCTGCTGCCTCAGCCTCCCAAGTAGCTGGGACTGCAGACATGCACCACCATGCCCAGCTAATTTTTTTTTCTATATATATTAGTTGGCCAATTAATTTCTTTCTATTTATAGTAGAGACGGGGTCTTGCTCTTGCTCAGGCTGGTTTCAAACTCCTGACCTCAAGCAATCTGCTCGCCTTGGCCTCCCAGAGTGCTGGGATTACAGGCGTAAGCCACCGCGCCCGGCCTTCAATGATTGGTTTTCTCATGTTAAGCTGACCTGACATTATTGGTAGGAATCCAACATGGCCATGAAATATTACCCTTTTTACATAGGTCACAATTTTAAAAAACAAATAAATAACAAAACCTCAAACTAAGAATAGAAAAAAAGTTCCTTAGATTAACAATGAATATCTACCAGAGACCTACAGCATTTAATCATCAGCTGTGAGCTAGGCTGATGCCACTGCACCCTAGCCCAGGCCAGAGTAAGACTCTTGTCTCAAAAAAAAAAAAAAAAAAAGCTTGAGTGAGGCCTTTTGACTAAATAAAAGGATTTGTTCTGCGGAGTTTGGATTAGGTCAAGGGGCCACACTTGGGGATCTGGAGGGCCATGTAGGGCCTTGAGGCCACAGGTTCCCCACCCCTGGAGGCAACTTCATTGCCTAGGTCTAAACACAACTCTACCATTTACTAAGTATGTGACCTCATGCAAGTCACATAAATTCTTCTCACCTTCATTCCTCAATAGAATTATTGTAAGAATTAAAGATAATTCTTTAAAAGTAGTTGTAATAACATCTAGCATGTAGAAGGTGCTTAATAAACTTATCCTTAAGCAGGTTTCTAGTTAGACAAGGGAGAAATAGGACCAAAAATTATAAGGAAAATGTGGAAGATAAACAATTAAATGGAAAAGAAAGATACGCTGCCATTGTTTAATTGCATTATGCTCGAGAGCAGCAAAATCAAAGACACTTGATATGGCTTTTTTGCGTCCTTGTCTCCAAGATGACAAAGAAAAGAAGGAACAGTCGTGCCAAAAAGGGCCGTGGCCATGTGCAGCCTACTCGCTGCACAAACTGCGCCCGACGCGTGCCTAAAAACAAGGCCATAAAGAAGTTCGTCATCTGGAACATAGTGGAGGCTGCAGCTGTCAGGAACATATCTGAAGCGAGTGTCTTCGATGCCTATGTGCTTCCTAAGCTGTGCACGAAGCTACATTACTGTGTGAGTTGTGCCATTCACAGCAAGGTAGTCAGGAATCGTTCTCGGGAAGCCCGCAAGGACCGAACACCCCCACCCAGATTTAGACCTGCGAGTGCTGCCCCAAGACCTCCACCAAAGCCTATGTAAGGAGTTGAGTCCTTGAGGAGTGAAGAAAAACTATCTGTTGGAAAAAAATAAAATGGAAATTATACTTAATATAGCATGTTGAATATGTCTGTGCCAGAGAGAGTGGAAGTTTGTGCTATACCAGGTGTTCAAGTGTGAACTGTCACATAATGTTTTTCTTTGAAAGAAAGCTAATCTGTGTGAATTAAAAAAAAAACAAAAAACCCCCCAGATACTTGACGAAGTAGAAAACACAGTAAACCTTTAGGCCCATTTCTACAATTAGTTGTATGATCATAATAAAGGAACAATTTATCCTTTTTGAGTTTCAGACTCTTAATCAGGACCTTGGACAAATCTGTGAGAATTTTATTTTATTTATTTATTTATTTTTGAGACAGGATCTCGCTTTGTTGTCCAGGCTAGAGTTAGTGCCATGGCGTCAGCCTAGCTCACAGCAACCTCAATCTCCTGGGCTCAAGTAATCCTGCTGCCTCAGCCTCCTGAGTAGCTGGGACTACAGGCATGCACCCCATGCCTGGCTAATTTTTTCTATATATATTAGTTGGCCAATTAATTTCTTTCTATTTATAGTAGAGACAGGGTCTCACTCTTGCTCAGGCTGGTTTTGAACTCCTGAACTCTAGCAATCCGCCTGCCTCGGCCTCCCAGAGTGCTAGGATTACAGGCGTGAGCCACCGCGCCCAGCCAAATTTGTGAGAATTTTAAAAGATAAATAAATATATATATATATATGTGTGTGTGTAAAAAGTGCTTAGGAAGACTAAGGTGTTAACAAGTTTATTAAAAATTACCTACTGTTTCCCTTTCTTGGTAGATGAATTTCAAATAATCATGAAATTATAAATCACTTTGGTTGTCACTAGATCTTTTTGGGGGCAAGAGAGCTCACTAGCAGGAATTTAATAATAAACAAATAATAATAAGCCCACCAATCCATTATTAGACACTGAGTCATCTGAAAGCAGAACCAGTTTAATCTACAGTACAACAACAACGAGTTAATTCTTCATTGCGTTTTGTCTTTAAAATTTATATAGGACACCTGCAAACTGTATAAATCAAGAAACGTTCTTACACATTTTTAAAAAGGGTCATGATCAAATTTCATTATACACATCTACTCTGTTTAGTCTCAGCTCCTAGATATCAAAATTAATTAAAAATGTGAGCTGAAATCCACACTTCACCAAATGCACTTATCTCACTCTTCCACCTTACCTGTTTCATGGCCTGTTTCTTAGCAGCTTCCCTCTGAAGACTTTCACTCACGGAGGTCTGTAAAATAGAAAAATACTGTCATTGTTTAAAACAATTTAAAATTTCTTCAGTACAGGTTAAGTATAGTTTATCTCAAATGCTTAAAATGACAAGTGTTTTAAATTTCAGATTCTTTTTGTGATACTTACTGCTTTAGCATCCCAAATCTGAAAATCTGAAATGTGTGAAATGCTCTAATGAGCATTTTCCTTTTAGCATCATGTCGGCACTTAAAAAGTTTTGGATTTTGGAGCACTTTAGATTTCACATTTTTAGATTTGTGATGCTCAACTTGTATTCTAGTTGGCAACTGGTTCCCTACCAGTTAAAAGTGGAAATATAATATTATGAATTAAATTAATATTTTTAAGGTCCTTCCCCTAAACTATAGAAAACAAATTTTCATTGTAAATTTTTAGAGAAGACTATAAGGTGTATGAGAAAATAGTACAGGAAAAAATGAGGAACATGAATTTTTTTCTCCTTTTTAGAAGCAGGCTCTTACTCTGTTGTGCAGCCTGGAGTGCAGTGGCATGAGTATAGCTAACTACAACTTCAAATACCAGGCTCAAGTGATCCTCCTACCTCAGGCTCGTGAGTGGCTATAACTATAGGTGCACACCACAATGTCTGGTTAATTAAAAAAAATTTTTTGTGGAGATAGGGTCTCACTATGTTGCCCAGGCTGGTCTTAAACTCCTTGCCTCAACTGATCCTCCCACCTCGGCCTCCCAAAGTGCTGGATTACCGGTGTAATAAGCTGGACATGATTTTAAGTCCTAACTTCACCACTAAGTCATTCAACCTTTATAGATTTCAATGTTTTGTGTGCTGCATGAATATGAATGTATATGTGTGTTAAATGGGGGAAGAATGGACTAGCTATTTCAAGTGCCTTCCAACACTAAAATGATAGGATTTCCAGCAACAAAAAGCACATTATGGCCAAGCGCAGTGGCTCACGCCTGTAATCCTAGCACTCTGGAAGGCCGAGGCGGGACGATTGCTTGAGCTTAGGAGTTCAAGACCAGTTTGAGCAATAGCAAGACCCCCTCTCTACTATACATAGAAAGAAATTAGCCAAATAACCAAAAACAGAAAAAAATTAGCCGGGTACAGTGGTGTGTGCCTATAGTCCTAGCAACCCGGGAGACTGAGGCAGGAGGATTGCTTGAGCCCAGGAGTTTAAGGTTGCTGTAAGCTAGGCTGACGCCAGCGGCACTGTAGCCTAGGCAAGACAGTGAGACTCTGTCTCCAAAAAAAAAAAATAGAAAAGAAAAAAAAAAAAGCACATTATTTTAATATTCACCACCAAATATAGTGTATCAAGCTCCTGGTTTATGACTAAGACTTAGGGGCATCAAGAAATGTCTGTGGCTATAATAAATCAAAAAATATGTACCCAAAAGCTGTCCATTCCAGGCATTGTTCTATGTCATGAGGATAGTAAAATATAAAAACCATCAGTGTTTTTTAGAGATAAATAGTCTGAAATGGAAGACAAACAACTGAAGAGACAATTACAACATAATTGCAATAAGAATAAAGAGATAAACAAAGTGCTATGGGAGCTTAGAGCAGAAAAGGCAACTCAGTATATGAGGAATCAAAAAGCCTTCCTGGCCAGGTGCAGTGGCTCATGCCCATAATCCTAGCACTCTGGAAGGCCGAGGCAGGAGGATCACTTGAGGCCAGGATTTTGAGAACAGCCTGGGCAATAACAAGACCCCATCTTACAGCTAAGAAATGAAAAAATGTCTCCTTACAAGTATCCGGCTTTAATCATCAGGGAAATGTAAATCAAAACCATTATGAGCTACTACCTTATATCTGTCAGAATGACTTTTATCAAAAAGTTAAAAGGGTTCAAAACCAGCCTGAGCAAGAGCGAGACCCCGTCTCTACTATAAATAGAAAGAAATTAATTGGCCAACTGATATATATATATAAAAAAAAAAATTAGCCGGGCATGGTGGCGCATGCCTGTAGTCCCAGCTACCTGGGAGGCTGAGGCAGTAGGATCACTCGAGCCCAGGAGTTTGAGGTTGCTGTGAGCTAGGCTGACGCCACGGCACTCACTCTAGCCTGGACAACAAAGCGAGACTCTGTCTCAAAAAAAAAAAAAAAAAAAAAAAAAAAGTTAAAAGGTAACAAATGTTGGTGAATGTGTGAGAAAAGGGAACTCTTGGACACTGTTGGTAGAAATGTAGATTGGTAGAGTCATTATGGAAAACAGTATGCAGTTTCTAATGAAATTAAAAATAGAACTACCATATGACCTAGCATATACCCAAAGGAAATGAAATTACTGCCTCCTAAAGATATCTTCACTTCCATGTTCATTCCCAATAGTTAGATATGGAAACGAATTCAACCTAAATGTCCACTGACAAATGGATAAAGAAACTGTGGTACATACATTAATACGATGGAATGTTATTCAGTGTTTAAAAAGTAGATCCTGCTATTTGACAAAACATGAATAAGTCTGGACATTATGCTAAGTGAAATAAGCCAGAAACAGGAAAAAAAATATTACATGACATTACTTTATAAGTTGAATCTTTTAAAAAAAAAAGTCAAATATACAGAGATAGAGAACAAAAAAGTGGTTATGGAGGTGGAGTGGGTAAGAAGTGGGAGGAAACAGGGAAACATAGGTCAAAGGATATAATGTAGCAGATATGAAGAATGAACAAGTCTAGAGACCAAATGTAAAACATGAGGACATGCAATAAAATTGTACTAAATACATGGGATTCATGCTAAATTAGCTGTTCTTGCCACAAAATTTAAAAAGGCGGGGGCAGTAACATTGTGAGATGATGGATATGTTAATTTGCTTTACTATAATAACCTTTTCACTATCTATATGTATCCTATAACATCATATTATACATCTTAAATATACACAGTAACATTTATTTTTTAAAAAGTATCAGGCTTTGTGAATATACTAACACTGAATTATATATTTCAAAGGGGTAAATTTTCTAATCCTATAAGAATTATATCTCAAAAAAACCCCCACCAAAATAAAGCTACTGATAAATTTATTTTTAATTTTCCTTGCATGTGTGGAGGCTGGGGATACATGAGATATCTCTGTACCTTCCTCTCAATTTTGCCATGAGCCTAAAATTGCTGTTAAAAAAAAATGAGGTCTTAAATATATACATAAAATCCTCAACCCTATGATTATAGTTGTCTAACCTACTGACACTGTTATCTTCAGTTGTATAGTATCAGCAATCCATGTGTCCTTTCTTTTTTTTCTCATGGCCACCAACTGAACAAAACAAACCTAATTCTATAATAGTTCCCTATGACTATGGAGACAAACTTAATATACAAAGGTCATACAAGTAATAGAACACATATTTAATAAATTAAAGAAGTTTCAGGCAAAGAACTAAAGGCATTTTAAGTGACAGTAAACTGATTCCAAGTGGAGGAAAAGAAGTTGATAACAAAAAATAGTAATAGCAGCTAACACTTACTGAGCTGGGTGCTATGCTAAGTGTATTATATATATGATTCATTTAATCCAAATTTCCCTGTTAAATGTGATATGACACTTTTATTCATTAGAATATTAATCTTAAACATTAAAATTGAAAAGTAATAAACATTTCCAATGCATTTTTATGTCTATTGGTGTAAAAGAAATGTATTTTTCCTAAAAATGTATTTTTCTTTTCACTGAGTTAGTGATTGAGGATTGACTGAGAATAAGAAGTCTCCAACTGCTGAACTTTTATTTCTTTTACTTGCCATTATTTTTCCTATCTCCTCCTTTAGTCTGTCACCGTTGGTCAGTTTATCTACTGTCACTTTCTAACTGGTTGCTTCAATCTAAACTATACAACTTGGAAAAGAAAAACAAAACACAAGACTGTAACTTTTTAGACTTTTTTTTTTTGAGATAGGGTCTCGCTCTGTTGCCTCAACTAGAGTGTAGAGGTGTCATCCGTAGCTCACTGCAGCCTCAAATTCCCGGGCTCAAGCGATCATACTGTCTCAACCTCCTAAGTAGCTGGGACTACAGGTACACACCACCACACTTAGCTAATTTTTCTTTCTTTCTTTTTTTTTATTTATAGAGATAGGGTCTCATACTTACGCTGATCTCAAACT